ATAAAAAATTTTAAAATCTTTCTGACATTTTGGATTCAGGCACAGATTATACTGCTTTAAATGGGAGTTAGCGTGCCTTTTTCCTTTTTATATATTATTTATATGTATTATATATAATAATATATATGTGTATCTTGATTGTGTAAACGTGTGAACGATTGAACATGCCATTCTCCTGATATTTGACAATGAACTTCTATTTGCAAGATAGTGTAATCATTTAATGACTCATGAAGAGGCCACCTTTCTTTTGGGTCAAGTATATAATCTAGTGATTATTATTATTATTATTATTATTATTATTATTATTATTACTTGGTTTTTCAAGACAGGGTTTCTCTATAGTTTTGGAGCCTGTCCTGGAACTAGCTCTTATAGACCAGGTTGACCTTGAATTCACAGAGATCTGCCTGCCTCTGCACCCCAGTGCTGGGATTAAAGGCACACGCCACCACCGCCTGGCTAAGTGTATTTATTATTAAAACACTTTTGAGCCATTTTTCTTAGCTGTGATCAATAGCTATAAGCACAAAACTTATCTAGAATTCTGCCTCCATGGCTTCTTTATCATACAGACTTTATTTCCCATTGTCCACAAATTACATTAGAGTGTTCTCAAGCTTCTGGCTCCTCTGGTGTCTCTTACCTTGCTCTGGTACATGGTTACAACAGAACTTCAAATACCCTTGTCTAGATGAACAGTCTAGTCCTGAGCAGCCCAAAAACTCAAACATTGAAGATGAGAAACAGAGGAGACCCAGCATGCACTACCAGAGAGGACTTACCAGGCTGTCAGTCCGAAGGTCTACAGTGCTGACCCCAGTACCCTGTGTAGGTAATCCCACATCCTGCAGCAGGATGTAGGTGGACACAGGAATCCTGATGTCCCAAAAGCTTGCACCAGCTAACCAGACAATGGCAGCAGTGGGCAACAAAGAGATCCTGCCTCACACAAGATGGAAAGCAAAGACGGACACCTGAGATCATCCTCTGATTCCCCACTCATCTCGTGTGTGTGTGTGTGTGTGTGTGTGTGTGTGTGTGTGTGTGTAGACGTCTACTCACGTGTGTACGTGTCACATACACTCTACAAATGACATGGTAAGCTCCATTTCTCCATCCCACCTAGCCACTGCTGAAAGGATCTTTCTCCCTTGGCTCTGCCAAGGTCCCCCTTCCAATTGATTACATTTGTTTGTTTGGTAAGGGGGTACATGCATGCCATGGCACACATGGAGGTCTGGTGGGAGGGTACATGCATGTTATGGTGCACATCTGGAGGTCTGGTGGGGGTACATGCATGCCATGGCACACATCTGGAGGTCTGGTGGGGGTACATGCATGCCATGGCACTCATACGGAGGTCAGAAGGCAACTTCCAGTAGTTTTTCTCCTACCGTGTGAATCCTGAGGATCAAACTCAACTCATCAAGCTTAGAAACACAAGTTCATAAGTCTGATAAGCCATCTCCTCAGACCTCTTTGTTTTGTTTTTGAAGACAGGGTTTCTCGGTGTAGCTTCGGCTGTCCTGGAACTCGCTCTTACGCCAGGCTGGCCTCAAACTCACAGAGATCCACCTATCTCTGCCTCCCGAGTACTGGGATTAAAGGTGTGCACCACTACTGCCAGGTGTCCTCAGACCTCTTTTAACAGCTTTTCCCTATTGCTTCCCTTTCTGATTACTACCCAGGCATCAAACTGTAGCTCATGGGCAAGCAATGCCTAACCTAGGCTTCTTGGATTGAGCTCCCAGTGCAAACTCTTCTTTCCTAGTCTTTGCTCCTGTGGGAGGGAAACCACTGGAGCCAGGCTGAGATGTGGCAGTGAGGTCAGGGACCGGCATCAGGCATCAGACAGCCCATCATCAAGCCCCAGACAGAGATGGCACCGATGTGGCAGGTGAACCTCCCCTCCCCTTCCTATAGCCTTGGCAGACATTACTAATCAATTGCATCACTTTCACAATGAGTCAGTCCAGAGCTGCAGACAACCACAAAGGTTGACTTGCCATTCTTGACCCAGACACTATCCAAAAGTCAGAGTGACTCTGACTCAGAAGACAAGCTAAAGGGTAGCGGTCAGAACACATGCAGGGGTTTCAAAATTGGTAAGGTAAAGGACAGGACAAGGCATGGCCAAGCTGGCAAGGGAAGCGGTGACTCACATTCATAGAGCCCTCGTTTACGGAGCTTTCTCTAAATACCCTGACTCTTGAGGTTAAACGACTCACTTGATACTACAGATGAGACAGAGAAAGGGGGTGCACCTGGTGTCACCCAGCCTTTTGACCCACATGGCACACGCTTACTCTCAGCCTCAGCACAGGTAGCTCCAGACTCGGTCAGCCTCTCTTCTAACGAGCCCCTCAGGACTGAGACTCACGAGAAGGATGGCAGACAGAGCCTGTGGCTTGCTGCTGGTCATCTGATCACTGCCTGGGACAGCAGCTCAGGGGACAGCGACAAAAGCTTTGCAGACAGGAGACACTCTGGAGTGCACAAATATTATGGCTTCAATGCAGTTTAAGCTACCAGCAAATGTCACTGAATACAGATTGAAAACAGGTGTCCATAGCAACCTCTGGGTTAAGAGCTAGCTGTACCTCACACATTGGTACCCTCAATTGGTAGTTATTTTGCAAGGTTCTGAAAATTAGGAACTGGGACAGAGCCGGACGGGGTAGCTCACTGAGGCATGTCTTTGGAGGTTTTACCTGATTGGAATGCTCTCTGAAGAACTTCCTGTGCCACATGGTTCTGCCACCGTGATCTACTCGGGCATACAGGACCCAGTGGCCATGGGCTAAATAAAGCCTCTGAAAATGTGAACCAAAGAAGTAACCCCTCCTCCAAGAGATTTCTGAAGGTCATCTGGTCACAGTAGTGAGAAAAGCAACTAATACAGGATTCACATTGAGTCCATCACGGCCTGGTATTCGGCTCTCTCTCATGCTTTGAGCCCCTCACGAGCTCTCTTGCCTGATTGGCCTTCATTTCTATTGCTTGCCAGGAAAGAACCCAAGAATGTCACTGGTGCACTGGCTGTGGGAGAGTGTCGGTCAGAATCCGGTTGCCTTCCAGTTTCCTGGTCTTTCCTCTCCACCCCAAGGCCCAAGCATGCAACAAGAAGCCTAGTGGTAGGAAAGAGCCTCTGAACACAACACGTAGAGGTAGGAGTTTCTCTTGTGAAGACCCCCACTGGTAGCCCCCATTTCCTGCTCTCTTTGCAGTATGCCAGTGCCTTTCCTACACAGGAGAGCCCCACAGCTAGGGCCAGGCAGATGGTGGCTTCCAGGAGTAGCAGCAGATGGTGGCTTCCAGGAGTAGCAGCTGCCCACAAGAGGCTGGGCTGCCCCTGGTAGGCTGGGGAGTGTGTTCAGCCGTCCTCTGCTCTTTACCAGGGTCTAGAGCCCATTCTAAATCACAGTCTGGGTCAGAGAAGGCAGGTGTTCAGGTGGCCCAGTGAGTGGCGCTCGTCTTGGGAGCTTGTGCCCACGTGTGTCCCCCTCACTGGCCTGCCAGACCAAAGATTGCTCTGCACTCCTGCCCAGGAGCCCTCTGAAGAACTGAGCAGTAACGTTCTTGGAGTCATCACCTAGGATTCTATAACCAATGAAGAACAGCAGCTGCCACCTAGTGTCTGAACAGTGTTACAGCTCCACCTTGAGTGGTGGGAACCAGGACGGTTGGCTAGGAATAATCCTTAGTTGCCCAAAGGGTTGGGCACCAGAGGAGCGGAAGGACTATGGTAGATGGATTCCTCCCGTCCTGATTCAGAAAGTCATCCAATGTGGCTACTCAAGAGAAACGCAATGGGTTTTTTGTTTGGTTGATTGGTTGGTTGGTTTTTGAAGATAGGGTTTCTATGTGTAACAGCCTTGGCTGTCCTGGAACTCACTTTGTAGACCAGGTTGGTCTCGAACTCACAGAGACCCTCCTGCCACTACCTCCCAAGTGTTGGGATTAAAGGCATGCGCAAGACACACAATGTTTTAAATGCTGTCAGTTCTATTGTTTTTAAACACCGAAGGGCTGGGATGTAGCTCCATGGTAGAGCACTTGTCTAGCATACGCAAGGCTCTGGGTTCCATCCACCACACTGGAAAACAAACAAACACATCGAAACATCTCCAGCAGCCTCTGCTCTTACCTGAAATCCCTTTAAGGCCATGGAAGTTTCTCACTTGCCTCTGGCTTCCCCTAAGGTCCACTCTGCCAGCCTAGGGCTCTGGCCACCCCAGCAACTTCATGTGAGAACTACACTTTGCTGCCTCCTGTACTGTGTAACTTACCCTGGCTGCTGTGACCGCCTAGCATAGCATACCCACTGTCCTTGTCTGTGGTGTTTCAGAGTTCCTATGCCTGAGCTCTTCTGACAGCCCCTTTCTGCTCTGCCTCATCAGGCAGCCACTAACTGATTTCAGCCAATCCTCTCACCGCCCCAGCTCACCCCTGCAAGTGCCCACAGCTCACCAGGACCTCAGGTCTGGAGGTCTGACCACCTGTTCCCAGCTCTGCCCTCACTGGCTTCACTCCCTGGTCCCATATCTATGCCCTTCCCTGCAGCTCCTACTGGAGTGGGGCTTAACTGTCCCCTGCCTTAAGACTGCATCCAGCTGGCCTCCTGGGTGCAATGATACTCATGCCAGTAACCTCAAGTGGAAACTGGAGCTTCTCAGATGCCTTAGCTATGCCCTTGGCCAGCCTTGCTACACTCTGAGCTCACTCACTCATCCTTCTCCAAGCCCAGCCCCCACCCACGCCCGCTCCGCTCACAGTACAGACAGCACCACTGGCTCTGCAGATCTGGGTCCAGATGCTGTCTCCTCCATCTCCAAGGAGAGGCTCCCTGCTCTGTTCTAGTCTCCAGAGCATCCAGATCCACCCACCATCTGCCACAGGCTGGGGCTGGGGTGCAGTTCAGTGGTTAGAGCTGGCTGAGCACGTCATGCCCTGGAGCCTATCCTCAGCACCAGAAAGAAAGCAAACAACAAACTCCGGAAGCCGAGATGCTCTTCCATCTTTCTTTTATTTCGTGTAAAAGCCCAACCGCCCCCGGCCTAGGAGGCACCAAACAGCCTGAGTCACCTCTGGGTCCCTCTGTCCCAACCCCACAGGCCCCTTGGCTCCTGGACCCCAAGCTCTGGCCACTCCCTTGGGGACTTGCTGCTCTGATTCTCTGTCACCCCCTCTAGCCATTCTCAAGGTCTTCTAGAGGACACTCTCGGCCACTGTTTAAAACTCTGGTGGTGACACCAGGCCAGTGCGGGTGATGCACACTTAACGCCACCAAGGTGACCACCCAAGACAGTTAAAGAGGCAGTGAACGTCAACCCCCAGAGCAAACAAAGGCATTGCCTGCCGAATGCCTAACTCATCACACTTAAGCTGGTACCAGGAAAAGGAGCTGGGACCATGGACAGGTAGGAGCAGCACCAATTCCAGGGTGGCATCTGTCTCCTCCCCCCATTAGCAGCTCAAATGCCATGAAAGATTTGAATGTAGACCCCGAACACAAATTATGCACTGAACACTGACACTTCCGCTGGCCTGCGGGTCCTCTGGGGCAGCCTGTCGGGGACAAGTACAAACATGGGGAGATGTGTGTGGCATGCACCCCCATCAGCTACCATGGTGTTTGGAGTCATTCACAGTGGGAAGGAGGCAGATACACGGGTGTTCAGTGCAGAGTTCCAAAGGTTTCCAAGAAGCCCGACTTGTGTTCATTTCTAGTGTCTTTGCTTAGGCAGAGGTAGCAGAGTCCAGCCTAGGAATCCATCCACTCTTCTATCTCACCAGATGTGCATTCTCCAAATGTGCCTGCAGAGGGCGCCACTACTGCAGTCCGCAGCACATGGGCGCAGTGGGGCAGCCAGATGATCAGGGCTAGTCATCCGCATACACAGGCCAGCACCTCAGTGCCTCCAGAAGGAAGAGGGGGAGCTGGAAGATGCTTGCTACAGCTCCCCTCACCTTCCCTGACCACCATCTCCCCAAACCAGGCGTCCTCAATGACACCTCCTGTCCCTGGCCTTAGCCAGGGGGGCATAAAATCTTGCCCTCCTACCCATGGCCTGAGGTCGGGAACAGGATGCGTTCCCATGATGCAGGTCAGTAACCATCTGCTAACCCGGTTCACTGGCACCCTGGCATCTCTGGGCCTTGGTGGCACTACCTTCCCGGGAGCAGTTATGAAGCTGTACTGACAGTCTCCTTGGGTCTGGCAGGTCAAGCTATCTCTAAGGGAGGAGGGTGCTAAACCACAGGGTTTCTCTGTGGGCCCCTGGAGCAAACACAGCTGAAACTTACTGCGGCTTGGCAACAGGTTCCCAGGCAGAGATGGGGCCCCTCACCCCAAATCCAGTATGGAGAACAGGAAAGTGGGTGTGTTGGCGGCAGGTCACTGGGAGCACGAGGGAGCAGGGTTTACCAGTGTACCCACCACTGGGACAGATGACTTGGGTTTTGTGTTAGTACCCTCAGAAGCCTCCCTCCTTTCACAACTGTATCCCAGTTGCTGAGAAGGCCACAGCAGGAATTCTGTAGGCCAGGAGTCTGAGACTAGCCTGAACAACACAGCAAGGACCTCTTAAAGCAAGCAGCTCCCTTCCTAGCGTCCTGGGACTGGGTCTGTGGCTCAGCCTGGAGGACTGGAATCTCACAGTCCCTCCTTCGTGTCTCCCAAGTCACCAGTGAGCTCTGGGCGTTGTACCATGACAACCCCGACAGCCAGGTAGGTGCCCTGAAGCAGGAGCAAAAGCAAGCATGTCTGTTCATCCGGGCAGAAGAGGCTGAGATTGCTCTGGGCTGCCCTCCAGTGGGGTGGTAAAATCCAGACCAGAATGGCATTGTTTCATCTTTGCTCCTACACAGGTGACTGCATCCGTAAGCTTGCTCCTGCCTCACCTCCCCTTGCAAAAGCCCTGTACACCTCAAGGGCAATGACACCAGTGTCTTTGGATTGGACGTTTCATGGCCAGCCTGGATGCCTTGAGCTGCTATCTAGCTCCTTAGCCTTTCAGTCCCTCTTGGCCTCTGTAGAGAGAGAATACTTCTAGCTCAGGTACTTTTGTGATTTTACCACAACTTGGTCCCCAGGCTTTGGGCTCAGGCTGATTTGTTGAGACAAGCCTACTGACAACCCCTATCAGTGCCAGCGGGCGGGGGACATCAACTTCCAGGCAGTGGGCTCTGGCCTGAGTTTCCCGGCAGCACCTGCCCTCCTGAGGACCCATCGGATCCTCACAGCGCGGCACAAAAGGCTCCGACCTACAGCTTGGTGTTGAGGTGGAAGAAGTGAGGTGCCGCATAGGTTGTGACGGGTGGCATGTGCCAGGCAGATGAAGCTGGGCCCAGTCTGTTGCGGAGGACGGTATCATAGGACGTGGGGGGGAAATGCATCAGGCTGGTAGCCATAGGTGAGGGGCCTGTCGTAGCCAGGAGATGGGCTGGGAAAGCCGGGATGACCAGGGGACTGAAGGGGAGTGTGGCCTGGCCCTTCAGAGGGTCTGGGCTACTGGCAAAGTTCAGAGGATACTGCAGCATGGTGCCCCTGTAGGCCTCTGGAGGAGTGGGCCCCAGGGCTGGGCCCAGTAGACAGGGTACCGCCATGCCAGGTGCTGCAGGCTTGCCCCCACACTCCTTGGCATCCACCTCCTTCAGAAAGGGAGACACTGCCCTCAGTTTTTTGCCACCATGAGCAAAGCCCTCTTCTTCCAAGTTGCCCTTGTTGCCAAGGCCTGGGCTACTGGGGAGGAGAGGTGGAGCTACAGGGCTCTCCGCAGGAACCTTGGCCATGGGGGACACCCAGCAGGCTTTGGGCTTGGGGTAGAAGCTTCTTTTTCTGGAGCTGCCTTTATGGAATGCAGAGGGGCGGTTGGCATCCCCGCCCCACACCAGCTGGGGCTCTTTGGTTGACAGCCCTTCCTCTTTAGCAGGCCGTTCCAACAGCACCCTGTCTTTAAGGCCAGAGAAGAAGTCCCTGGGGTGCTGGCTGACAGGCTTCAGCACTTCAGTTGGGTAGGCATGAAAACAGCCTGAGAAAGTCGGGGCTGTGGGGTGGGGCCCCTCCTGCACCTCCACTTTGGTGCTGCCACTGGGAGGCAGCAATCCTTCCTGAGGGGTTTGCTGGTGTTCAGAGTTCTCAGCTGGCCCTCTTAGGTTCTGGGGACTTTCTTGAAGGTCTTTGCTGGGGCTCCTTGCTCCATGACGACAGCCCTCTTCTTGGCATTGCAAGGCTTCTGCCTTGCTGACCTGGGCCAAGAGTTTCTTTTTGGCCAGTGGTGACATGATACCATGTGCCCCTTTGCTGTAAAAGTTGGACAAGAGCCGCTTGTAGGCCTCCGGACAGCCGCTAGCACCCATGGATGGCAAAGAGGGCCCAGATGTTGGGCCCAACTGTTCTGTGCTATCCCTTGAGGGTCCCTGGCTAGGAGGCTGCGTCAGACCAGTGGCATCTGATTTGATCTTTCCCAGTGTGGTCTGGAATAAGAAAAGGCTTTGGCTTAGAGTCGGGTGCAGGATTGTGCTTCTAACCTGGAGATCTGGAGGTAGCAGGCCTCAGAGGGGCCACAACTTAGCCCTCAGCAACACCTTGGGTCAAAAGTTTTCCGAGGTGCCCCTTCCCAAGCAGATACAGCCTAGTATCCCAGCAATCCCAGCATAGCGTCATGTGTATGAGCAGGTGTCAGCTGGTCTTCAGGGAACCCAAAGTTCAGCCAGCTCCTGCCCTGAAGCAGGTTCCTGGCATTCCAAGTGGGAGTCAGCAGCCACAGCCAGAGTAGGCATTGGGGCTGTGAAAACAGCCTCACCATGCTCGGCGCTTACCTGGTCCACCTGCCTCTCTGAGTCCTTGGCCTTTTTTGGCTTCTCTGTGGTCCCATCGTCCCCCCTCAGCTCCTTGGCCATCTTGTACTGCTTCCTGGGCTTAGTCGGGGGCAGTGGTTTGTCATCTTCTCCTTTCAGGTGCCGCACATATGGGAGGACCAGCCTGGGGAAGAGCCAGTGTGTCAACCAGGAGCCTGCAGCTGCTCTTCGCAGCCAGCGGGACTTCCTTAAGGCCCTCTGACTCCTCCCCACCAGAGCTCCTGCTGTCTCCAAAGCTGCCCGCTCCTCCCTGCCCGTGCACAGAGCACGCTACAGCTCTTCCTGGTCTCCCCGCAGATCCCGACCCTGACAAGGACATGCTTGTGGCACATATGTACTGCCAGCCCCCAGAACAGCAGCGTATCTGTCTATATACCGCCTTTGCACCTCACTCCCAGTGCGCACCTGCTAAGACCCCGGAAAGGGGAAGGCCTAGGTGTGCAGCACCCTCTGGGCACCCCGTACCTCTCGTAGTGGCGGCGCGTGCATGTGGCCGCGCTGGTGCTGCCTGGACTGCCCCCCAGCTCATCATACACGTTCTTCCAGAGTCGGCGGCCCGTCACCTGCAAGACACCAGAGAAGATGGGCAAACGGGACCCTCTCTGCTCCAGGTTCCCCGTGCAGGGAGGCGGCGAGAGCCACGGGCAGGATGCTGGAGAAGGTTGCTGGTGCTCATCAGCTCTCCCTCCTCTCTGACTGCTAGGCAAAGAGGGTTTTGGAGTAGGGGAAGGTGGGCCAGATGAAGGTGGGAAGAAACCTGCTTTGAGATGCAAAACACCAGTCCCTCCTCCCACAGCACTCGGGCTGGACCTGGGAATTCTGATCTTCCTCACATCTACAGGCCAGGAAGCCCTGCTGACCACCCTGCTCCCCAGCTTCTGCTATGGCTGAGAACCTTTTCCTTACCAGCTCATAGGCCCCCAGCTTCTCCACTGCCTTGTAGATCTTCCACAGGTTAACTGAAAGAAAAAGGCAAGACAGGCTGTCAGGCGCGGCAACCCATACACTCCCAGACGATGAAAAACCACTGTGATGGATGGGGCAGGCTGGCCTGGCCATCAAGAGGAGAGGATGGGCATCCAGCTCCAACCCTTGGCCTTCAGGGAGGCATCCTTCTCATAGGCAACCCCTGGAGGCTGGAGGCTTCCAGGATCACCTGGAGCTGAGGTGCCTTGCCTGTTGTCTCTGGGAAGATCCCCTGGCTGCCCCCTTAAATCTACCTCCCCTTGGAACGTACTCTGCTTGAAGCCAAGATGGGGGACCCTCTCGATGGGCGTGTGTCGTTCCTTCATGAACTTGTAGAGGCTGACCAGGAAGGCCTGTTCTTCCTCCCGCTCCTCGCCGGCCTCAGGAGAGTCCTGGGGAGAGAGTAGGAGGCATGGATGGACTCCACTGATGGACAGCTGGACACTGGGAACCACGGCCATCTGAAGGTCCCAACCATAGGCTACCTGGGAGCACCCAGCCTCCTGTCCTGGGTACAATTGTGAGCTTAGTGCCTAGGCTCAGATCAAGGGTTTCCCTGTGTAGCCCTGGCTGTCCCAGAACTCGCTTTGTAGACCAGGCTGGCCTCGAACTCACAGAGACCCACCTGCCTCTGCCTCCCAAGTCCAAGGATTAAAGGTGTGCGCCAGCACTGCCTGGTTTGGGAATCCTTTTTTGAACATCGCAGACTTGTGTTTGTCTGCTTTCTGATCAGAGTCCGGGTTGTTTGATCTTCAGAATCCTGGGAGAGGTTCTGCCTTTCCTAGTGCCCAGATCCTGCATCTTCCAACGTGGGGCCCCTCAACTCTGCAGCATGGGGCAGAGGCCTCTCTCCCTCTCCGAGCTCAGGGTGTCTCAGGTACCCTTGAGGCTGAGCCCAGCAAGGAAGAGGTCTAGGGTTTGTCCAACTCACCTCCAGCTGGATGGGGCTCTGGCTGCTGCTCTGCTCCTCATCAGGCTTGGGGGACACAGGGAGCTCTAGGGGGTCGCCTTCTTCTGACTGCTCCTTCGTCCCCTTGGCAGGAGGTGCTGCTGGGAGAGAGGAACGGATGAGGAGAGAGCAAGTTAGATGCAGGTAGGAGGAACATGGGCTGAGGGTTGGTTCCCCCTCCCTCAGCCATGGAAGGGGTGGATGCTCATAGTCCTTTTAGAGTGCCCTCTACTGGCCAGTATCGGCTATGACATGTGAGCTGTTCTCTCACATACACACACACACACACACACACACACACACACACACCCTGGCTTGGCAGCCACCCCCTTTTCTTTCCTCTATTCTAGCCATGCCCCCACATCTCTGCAGGAAACCCTCAGCCTCAAGTCAGAAGAATGCGGGTAGGTATGTTTTAAGGACATTCTCTCTCTCAGTCCTGCCCATCTCCAGGCAGAACTCATTATAGTAGCTCAGTTGAATGCTATCAAGACTTCATCCATGAGTCCCTGCGCGGCCAGTTATAGGCCCTTAGGCTCCAAGCTGCCCTCACTTGCAAGGCTGGTGATGACTGTTCACATCAGCTATGACCCCTTCCTATGCTTGGCCTTTCCCAGGCCTGGCTAACTCCAGCACTCAAATCCTTCCCTTTCTTGTCCAGTATGACTGATCTGTGACTGCCCACACCTTGTGAGTCCTCTGGCCCCATTCGAGACATGAGCCAGGTAAGAAGGGCAGAGACCCAAAACTGTGACGGTGGCCTGAGAGAAGCCATCTGCACGTATGTTTAGTGCAGCTCTGGTCTGGTCAGGAGCAGGAGGTTATAAACATGTCACAGATTGGCCACTGCAGAAATATCAACTCAGATTGCCTCAGGTGAAGAGCTGGGCTGCATCAGATCTGGAGTCAAATCTTTTTAATTAATTAAGACAGTGTCTCATAGTGTAGCCTGGCTGTCTTTAAAACACGCAGGAATCCCCCTGCCTCTGCCTCCTGAAGGACAGGGTTACAGGCATGTGCTACCACGTCCAACTAAAAGGGAACTTGTTTTGCTCCCATTTTATGAGACAAAGTCTTATGTAGCCCGGACTGCAGTTTCCTAGGTAGCCAAGAATGATCTTGAACTCCTGGTCCTTCTGCCTCCATCTCTCCGATGCTGTAATTAAAGGCATGCGCCAGCACACCTGGCCTAGAAGCTCACATCTGCTAATCTGTCCTTTTGTGGTTTCGGGGATGGAGCCTAGGGCTTGTACATTCTACACAGGCACGTTTTTAAATCATTTTTGGGGTGGGGTTGACATACAAAGAAACAGATTTACTGTGGCACTTCGCACGTTTCATTATGCTTTCAAGCACAGGGGTTTTGAAATAGCCTCGCAGTGTAGCCCAGACAAGCTCTGAGCTCCCGTCTCTACCTATAAAGTGATCACAGGCGCGACCTAGCAAGTTTCCCTTTTCTTTTCACCAACTTGCTACAATGGGACCAACTCTTGGTTTGCTCCAGCTCTGAGACCCCTTATTGCTGGAGGCTGAGATTTTCCTATCAACACAGAAAAAGAATCTCCTTGCGGACACTGTCCCACAGCCACATGACCCAGAGGAGCTGTGTTAGGATGCTCGGGTCCCGAAAGGCCCTCCCATTGCCAATTGTTCACATGGTACAGACATCCATGCCTGGGTCTGCTCACATTGTACCGGTCCCTGCCTCTGGGTGCCTGGCTTTGCCAGTACACTCCCTCATTTAGTCACAGCAGGGATCCCATTTTAAAGAGGGGGGAAGCTGAAGTCAGAGAGGTCCCGAGGCTCAGCATTTCAGCTCAGGCACCAGAATCCAAGACAAAGTCTGTCTGACCGTTGGGTTCGATGGCTTGCTGTGATTATCGTCACCATTGGCAAAGTCCGCACGGAGTGTCCAAATAAGCTCACAGAGACGCTCATCCTAACTCTTGCCAGAGTCCAAAGAGACTTGGGTGCTGTCTTAGGCAGCAACTGACATCAGATTCATGGTCAGTCTCCAGAAATCTCAGGAACTGATAACTGCCCCCCCCACCACCACCACATTCCCTGAAACTCCGTGCCTCAGGCTTTGCTTTTGTGACTGGGGGGTCCTCTGCCACCTCTGGGTGAACCCCAAATCTAGGAGCCAGAAGCTTATCTTGCTCCAGTCCTCCAGCCTGAGGCCTCTGCACGCTCCAATCACCCTTCAGTTGCTCCTCAGATTCTGGCAGCAGCAGCAGGGACGCTCCATCTACCACTTAGTGTGACCTGGGCTTCTAGCTTCTAAAGAGTTAGCATGACGCAGTCCCTAGACCTCAAAAAAATAACGCATTGGACCGTGATAATCCCCACCCCCGGGGAGCACTTCAAAGACGCATGCGTATGAGCATCTGAATAGAAAGCTCCCAGGGATGGGGGGGGGGGGTGTGTTGCGGGTGAACAGCCACCAGGCAGGTGATCTCTGGTCCTGATTCTGAGTTCAGTTCCGGGATCTAGATGCTCACTCAGGGAAGATCTCCTGGAGCAGGGCACTCAGGTTAACTGGAAAGGAAGGTGCCAGTCCAAGCTGTTTGGCCCCAAATGGACGAGGGATGAGGGCTCCCACCTTGAGCCACAAAAGGAAAGAAATACTTTATCACCGTGTCCTGGGTCCCCAAATGAACTTGGTGTCCATTCTCTCCTGGCCGGGACTATCATTCTTTGTCCCTGGCAGGACCTTCTGGGCCCTGACCTCTGCGGCTTTAGATGAGGGGGTAGGGTTGTCTTGTCTTATCCCTAGCAGTCCTAACTTCTCATTCCCCCAATCATTTATAGGTACAGGGTCCAGGTAACGCATCTGTAGGAAAGGTTCTTCTGTGAAACCCTCAGCCACAGTAGTAGACAATGCACCGGCCTGCCTGGCTCCTGAACCTTCTAATACGAGGCCTAAACATGGAGTAGCAGGCTGGGTCCCACCTCTCACTCTACAGGGGGTAGCCCAGCATCACCCTGCCTGTAAGACAGGAGAAGCCCACTTCTCCCTGTTAACTGCTGCCACCACAACCCAAGTCTTCTTCGTCCACCTCAGAGCTCGTGTGTGAGATCCCTTCCTGGCCAGTGCCTCGATGTCCTCCTCCTCGTGAGTAGAGAAGAAGATCGATATTTTAAAAGCACAGTCTGCTTTCCACCACATCACTCAGGCAGGATTCTTTCCATCCCTGAGACGAGAATGGTAACGGGGGATGGATGGGTCCTTGTAGCGCATCTAAACTCTCTTCTGGTGTGGAGTGTGGGGTGTGGGGTTTGAGGGCGGGGTCTACCAATGTCTTCCTCCGCTGGCCAGGTGTTTGCCAGTGCTGGTGGAGCGACCCCTCTGCAGTAAACAAAATGCTACTTTCCCCACAACCTCACACTTGACAGAAGCACATCTGGGGTCATGGGGTCATCCCTGGACTTTCTATTCCGCTCCTCTCAAGGTGGAATGCCAGCATCCATGGGTGGTCTCAATTTGAGGTCTTATGACTGAGTTCACTACATGGAGGTCGAGCCCCCCCCCTCCGACCTTCCTCTTTGAAGAACACTCCATCTGAGACTTAGGATGATGTAGACGCAGTCTCTAAAGCAGTGATTCTCAACCTAGGATCGTGACCCTGTTGGGGGTCAAATGACCCTTTCACAGGGGTCGCATATCAGATATCCTGCATATTAGGAATTTGTATCACTATTTACAGCAGTAGCAAAATTAGTTAAGAAGTAGCAAAGAAAATAATCTTATGGTTGGAATGGCAGGCAAGGCTTCACCCCACAGCACCTTGGGGTGCCTTACTCCACTGTCCACACAAGGACCTGGGGCGGCTAAGCCATCAGAGGGTGACAGGCAGGTGGGGAAGGGTGCAGCAGGAGGGCTGCCCCAGTCCTTTCTGGGCTTGACAGACTTCTGGTCAATTCCAAAGATATCAGAGGCAGCTGGGCCCCTAGACTCTAAGCTACAGGCCCAGCTTCAGCCTCTCCAATCAGAGCAAGCTTGCCAAAGTCGGTGTGTTTTCAAGCCACTCCCCATTTCCCTTTCTGCTCTAGCAGTGGCTCCACCAAAGCTAAACTCTTCTGGGCTGTCTGGGGCCGGGTACCCAAAACAAGCCTGACTGAATCTTCCTCCTTTGAATGGACGTCACGCCTGAGGCTCAGTGATGGACAACATGCCTCAGGGTCACACACCTTTCCAATGGCAAAGCCGAGATTCCAAACTACAAAAGTCAGATTGCTCCAAGACTCTGAACCCTAAACTCCAGAGCTTTGTAAATAGGCAGAGACCTTCAGCTTTCTCATCTAAGCTCAGAGGGCAGAGACTTACCCACACTACCTGAGTGGCTCTCTGCAGCCCCACTTCACTGATGAGAACAGGTCAGCATGGACAACTGAGCCAACCACGCCCAGAAAAGGAAGCGGCAGAAGTTACACGTGAATCAATGTGCCTGGCCTCGGAGTCTCCCAGGGCCCCATCATTGCGATCCAGGGTACCACTTTATAACCTTTAAGGAAGGAAAACCACTGGACACAATCGAGGGTCCCTGAAGAAGTGGGAACTGCTGTCTCAGTAGACAAAGGCTCTGTGTAAAAGAGGGGAAGATGGAAGTGGTGAGGGGCACCCTGTAGAGGAATCAGTGAGGAGGCAATGGGATAGGCTAAGAGATAAGGAGAGGCCCCTCCCTGTAAGCCTGCCCCTTGCCCTGCCAGCCAGTGAGCTGCAATCAGCTGAAATTGTGCAGGAAGGAGGAGGGGGGTGGGGACTCTAGTGCCCCAGGGATGCCTCTTGACTTGTTTATTTGTTTGCCTTGAGACCTTGGGCAAGGTCTCTCTATGTAACCCAGACTGGCCTCGAACCTACAGTTTTCTGGATTAGCTTTCCCAGTGTTCCCACGCTTGCACCACCAAGCCACGCTTAGGTAGCTTCCTCGTCTCTATAATGCTAGGCTCAATGGCCAATGTTCTAAACTGAAGAAAGAATGCACGCAGGCTTCCCCTACAAATCACAGCTGCAAGTGTGCACACATCCTTGGTGATACCTGCCTGTTCCCCCCCCCCCCCCCCCCCCCGCATCTGATTCTCCCTAGGGTGCTCCCGAAAATCTGACCTAAGTCTGTGGGATGATGAGTCAACTTGCTCTGAGAGAGCGTGTTCAAGGCCACACACCTCCCCGGAGCTGAGGAGCTGAGGAGCTGAGGAGCTGAGGAGCTGAGGAGCTGAGGAGCTGAGGAGCTGAGGAGCTGAGGAGCTGAGGAGCTGAGGAGCGTGAGTACCACTTTCCTTCTCTCTTTCATTTGCCTACCCCAGCCACCGTCCCTGTGATGGGAAGGAAGTGACACTTCCTTTCACGAAAACTCACTGACTGGGAAGACGACGTCAGTCACAACAATAACGGCAACAGCAACCTCAATAACAACCAGCAGGCACAGCCCCACCCCCTTGCCTGAGGTTGTTGGCTTAAGTTTCCCTTAGCACGAGCTGGAGAGGAAACAAAGACAGCCTTTGAAGCGGTCGGTCCACTCCGTGGCCCAGAAGCCGGCTGCCTGGCATTCTCCTCCTTGGGCTTGCTCCAGTGGGCAGTTTGGGGAGGGGGAGTCCTATCAAGAGCCAGCCTTGAAGACGGCTGGACAAGAGTCTGAGGACCCAGAACCATCCACAGCCTAGCCTCGGCACCTCTGCCAAGGCAGGGAGAAAGAAGTCCTGTCAGTGGCTAGAGACGAGCTGAGAGCCTCTGTCAGTGGCTAGAGACAAAATGAGAGCCCTCAGGGGTACATGAAGGCAGAGAGAGGCGTATGGGCAACCAAGTATGAGATTCCAGACGCCCAGTGCTACCCAGCTCTGGAACAGCCTAAGCAATTCTACTCCTGGAAGGACTGAGTCGCCACCGCCCCGCCCCTCTGCCCCTAGGTGAAAACAGAGACCTATATATGGATCATTTCCGGTTTTCCCACCCCACCTGTGCAGAAGCGAGGCTCAGAGGGGTGAGTCAACAGTAGAGGGAGAACCCCTACACAGGGTACTTCCCTACCTCACCACTCTTCTTCTCTCTGCACCCCAGCCCAGTGCCTGCCACCCTGCTCCGCGAGGGAATGCAGACCACTGCGGATCAGCTTCCCACTGAGGGCAGCAGAAAGAAGGCCGCTCGGAAAGGGGTGAAGGGCAAGGAGTCCTGGAAGTCAAGGAAGTCTCACTCAACTATCAGACCTGAGCCTGCCTCTGTGCCTGTAATAAAAGATGAGTGACGGGGGAGGGGGCTGACTAAGACCCATTCTGCCTCTGTCGCTTCAGGTTCTAGGCCAAGCAGTCAGTTTGGACGCTGAAACTGCTGTGGACCCTTTAGCTAACATCTCCAGTCTTTCCCTACCCTGACATCCTGTTTAGGCCCCGAGTCCCTTAGATGTACATCAGTTCCCAACAGTGTCCACGGGGCAGGGCAAGGAGCACCTATCACCTCCTTTGGCCACTGTGACCCCTCCTCTGAAGCAGAAGACTGCGAACAGGGGATCCAAGCCATAGCAGCACAACTTGGGATGAATTTGAGGCCTTCTGGGCCCAGGGTTGGCAACCCCACTGTGCCTGTGGGCCAGGGTGTAGAGTGTGACCCCAGTCAGGACATGGCGCCTGGGCAGTGTGGAGGGTTGAGGATGAGGTGGCGTGGTTGTGCCCCCAGTTTAAGCTTGAGAGCAAAGCCAAACTTGTACGTTGCACTCTGGCAGGCTGCCTTTCTGCCCTCTCTCCACTAACCACCCCCAGTCCAGGGCCACCACCCTGTCCCTCTGGAAAGGATTCGAGGGAAGAGAGGAAAAGTCAGGAGACTAGGCATAAAAAAGAAGCCATCTTTCCTGCCAGGCAAAGAGAGAAACAAAAAGAAAAAGGAAGAGAAGAGAGAAGAGAAGGAGCAGGGGACCTGAAGCCTGTGACCGTCAAACCATCAGCATGTCCCTCGGCAGAAAGAGGAACCGTTGATTCTTCAAAGCGCATTGAGCAAGTTCTTCAAAACCCGCGCAGTCACTTTCAGGAATCGCGGCAGCAGTGGGAAGCGCGGTGCGCGGCCCGGGCGTCTCGGGTTCTGAGAAGCGCTGGGCTGGCACGGGGCAGGGAGGGGCCCGCGGCCGAGAAGCTGCTGCTGACAGCTGTCACAACAAATGGGCCGAGAGCAGCTTGAGATTGAAACCGCAGCAGGAAGTGTGGGCGGCTCAGTGAATTTCAGTCCGGAGCCAGAGAGGAGAGTTTCGAGATAAACGCCTGGGAAGCCCCTGGCCGCCCCGACTTTCCACGAGAAGACAGCACACTGACACCCGGGTGCCCCTCGGGTCGCCCCCTCGGGTCGCGATCGCTCCAGGTCCCCAGCCCTCCGACCCCAGCGCCGCCCGCGAGCCGCTTACCCATGGCCCAGAGAGATCGCGCGACGCCAACCAGAGACCCTCGACGAACGGAGCTGTCCGGTCCCAGCGCTCTCGGCGCGACTGACTTGCGCTGCCGCTCGACTGCCGCCACCCCGCGGGCCCGCCCCCGGGCCCGCCCCGCCGCGCTCTGGGCTCCTATTGGTGGACCCTATCTTCTAGGGCGGGTGGGGTCCGCCCCTTGAGCCCGAGGAAGTCTGGAAGTTGTAGTGTGCGCCCACCTAACAGCAAGGGGCTCATGCTGGACACTCAAGAGTCATGGCCGGCCTGGGTCTTCTTGTTTCCCTAGAGGCAAAACCAGAGTCTAAGAAAACTGCCCGCTCTCTGCAGAGTGCCAAAGACTGGGTGGGATTAAGTGCTTCTGAATTGACCCGAAGTGGTCCAATTGCAGCCTATTCAACATCACATAGAGAGGCGAGTACTGTCAGCCTAGCAAGGACCTACCAAGGGCCAATCTAGAAAGTCCTCCGTAGCTCATGCCTAATGTCCTAGACCTGCCCATAGTGCCCATGTCCACATACGTCAGCCACAAGCTGAACTGTGCAAAGAGGAAGTGAGGGGGAAGAGGGTGAGGTTTATCGTGAGAGGGTACAAGAGGAGGAAGAGCAGTCCATTGGACCTGTGTGGGTTATAGAAGATGAAGCTAAGTCTTGAGATTTAAAAGCAGAAAGCCTCAGCAGCTGAAGGGCTTGGACTTGAACTTTGTTTATAGTATGTAGTTAATATCCCTGGAATCAAATTGTGCCCATTAATTAAAATATTCATACAACTCTGAGCATTTCACCCCATCATTGTCCTTATTTTATAGAGCAAAACAAGCCTGGGTGATTAATTAGCTCATATAGCTAGAGCTATATGGTCAGAGCTCAACCTAGAGCTCAACCGGGAAATAGGGGCACAGGTTAGGAGGATGCCATAGGCATACTCCCAACTTACCGCTGCTCCCATTCACAGTGGACAAAGGGCAGCAGTTGGCGACGCTGACCCTCAGGCCTTTATCCGGGGGTCTGGCATGACAGATCTGCAAGCTCACCACACTGGGCTTGGTGGGATAATTGAACAGCCTGCGCTCACAGATCTGGTAACAGACACGTTGTTGTCAATATTTATTAACTGCTCAGAATAATCACCAGAATAATGATTGCAACAGTACCTCCCACGTCCAAGATTACAAACCACACTCCACCCCAAGAGATCTGAGACTGGCCAAGATGCTATCTACCAAAAGATACCACCCAGAAACTTCTTTCGGTTCCACTTGTACCCATTTGGATTGATGGACCAGCCACAATGCCAGGCTAGGTACGACGATCTGGATACTACCTTCAGTGCCACAGTATAGGCCATCTGCTACCTCCTGGATTGGATACTTGCATCAGCGAGGCAGGTACTGCCAGACCGAACCACAGCTAACCCTACCTCTGGAGAGAAGGACCCTGCCTTAGAGCTGTTTGTGCGAAGGCTCAGCAAGTCAGCACCTGTCTGGGGCTACCTGAGAACAATGTGCTCTAAATTTTATTGTCTCCCTGAGGCAGCTGTTTGCAACAGAAAGTGATCTACAACGGCTAATAAACCCTACTGAGGAGTGACACCTCCATTTGCTTCCCTAAAAACACAAACACTCCGGTTGTTCAAGCTTCATTTTACACACCTCTCCCGCAGCACCCAGCTGCCTTCCTCCATCACCCACCATCCGCAGAGAACCAGCTCAGGATAGCCTGAGCGGTCACTAGCCTCTCCGTGTCTGGGTTGTTTCTCTGCCAGCCTCCAGAAGAGAAACAAAACACCACTCATGTGTAAACACACTCTTCCCGGGAAAAGCATTGAGTTAAATAAATCAGCCCTCTCTGGCCGTGCCCCAAATCCAGTTCCCTCCCTCTCCTTATCAGATTGGATAGTCTTTTAGAATGTTCCCTACTTCTTCTCATGAATACGTGTATCCATGGTCTGGTAAAAGATGTAACTTGGTTTAGTGTGTGCTTTAAGCTGATACAATTCTGACTTTGCCATAGAGAGATCTACATTTAAAATACAGGTCATTTCTCTATTAACATCTGCTACTGTCTATGTCTTATAGGTGATCTCTCCATAGTCTTCCCCCCACCCCTGAATCTTGCTGAGAGAATTCTAGATCTCTTAGAGCACTTTTGGGGAGAGACTGGGCTAAGCCTACCTTCTAACACCTCACACTGGTTCATCCCTAACGACCTGACCTTGGGGGTGGTGCTCACCCTGGAACTTACTGGCCTAGAGAGGTTCAGCAAGTTGCTGGAAGTCACACAGGAAAGACAGTGCCATGCTTCATCTGAGACCTTCAAAGTTGTTCGGTGTACTCAGAAAACAGGACAAGCAGCCTGTCTTCCCCGCTGTTACTGCTCTGTTCCCAGTCTAAGCAGTTGCAAAATGCCCCCTGGGGCCTAGTTTTCAAAGGGGAATGAAGTGGGGGAGTATTTTTAACTGTTGGCCCTGCTTTGCACCCCACTCCCCCACCCTGCTATGCTAGCTGTCCAGGAAAGGCTTGCTTCACAATGGCATTCGCAACTCATGGAAAACAGCAAATGCTTGAAATAGAACATACCCAAGCCCGGGAATGGAAAAAATGGGCTCATGGTTTCAAACGCGTCTTTTAGAAAGAGACAAGAATAGCTTTTGGCCTTTGGGGATGGGCTAGGGTTGAGAGGCTGGGAAGGTGGCAATGTTAGCATAGGGTTGGGTCCCAGATCACCAGGGGACAATTTCCTAGGAGAAGAGACATGGTTGCTGTCCCCAGGGGTGCTTAGAAGCAGGTGCTCCGTTCCCCCTCTGCACCAACCCACTGAATCTAGAACAACTTCCTGTGTTGGGTTAGGGCTGGCTTCTGGGTGGGGGGCTTCATGGCCCTGTCCCTACCCAACAGAAACCCAAGATGCTAAAGTGCCTGCACCTGAAAGTGACAGTTGAATCCTCCAGGGGTAGGGAAGAATTTGGGGTTTTCATCTGCACTCATACACAGCCCAGATGTGCAACCTCATGCAAGTTGTTTGATCTCTCAGGTGCACAGGTGCTTTATCAGGGAAGGTGGAGAGGATGCTGTGCTTATCCATCCATCCGACCGACCGACCGACCAACCAATCAATCAACATGTGTCATGTTGTCCTTCTGTGTGCAGGCACCAAGTTAGACACAGGGGTAGCTGCTGACAGACAGCAAAGGGCCCATGCCCAGGGCGGCAGGGGTGCTGGAGAATCAGCAGAGTGTTATCTACATCAGACCCCACCACACCCGTGTCTTACCAGACACGTCACCTGATCCCCACAAACTAGGCATTGTATCTGTCCCCAGAATACTCTTGGGACATTGAGGACCAGAGAACAGGTGCTGTACAAGTTCATGGGCGCAGCCACAATCTGGAACGAGTAAGAAAAGGTTCGCTGTGCGCCAGAGTTCCTAGGAACAGGGCAACCAGACCTTGGTTCCTTGTGTCGCAGTTTGTCACAAAATGGTAAATCTAGACCAGGGAGTCAGTACAAAATGCACTGGAGTAAGATTTCGGTTAGGTCAGTGTAGCGCTTTTAATTAAGGTCTCAGAGGGTCCTTCAGTCCTGTTTGAATGTTCTTGACTGTTTCTCCCATTTGACAGATGGAGAAATTGAGGCATATCTCACTTAAGGGGCCTCTACTTCCCACATAACCCTGTTCAATGCTCAGCAGCATAAGCCTTGGAGAGCATGGGGCGGGTGGGGGGGTGCGCCCAGCGTCAAGAGAGAACTGCATCTCCCAGGATGCCTTGCTGGGGAGCGTGTAGGGGCGGAGTCGCCGCTCACTGTAATTTCTTGGCACTGGGAGGGGAAGGAGGGGAATTGCGGAGGGGGAGCAAAAGTAAAGAGAGAATCAAAGCCTCCAGCGTCACGTCTAGGAATAGCCTCGGAGCTGGGCCAAGTCATTATCGACGATGAGTAATCCGGTTAAGTCATTTCTCTAAACACCATTCCTTGTAAGAGAATTAAAATATCAGCTTACATCAGAACGGGAGAGGCGGGCTCCGGGCCCGGGCTGCAGCGCCAGGAGCGGGAGCGCCTGGCGGACTCCGCGCTGGGCCAGCCCGGCCTGGGAGCGGAGTGGAGCCGCGTGCCTGGGTGCTGCCAGCCGAGCTTGGGCTCCGTCCGGGCGGGAACCAGCGAGTGGGGGCGGGGAAGAGGGCAGCCAGCCAGGTCTCAGTTTACCCTGCTGTTAAGGGCCTCAGGGAAAGTTTGACCGCCCTGCGAGGGGACCGAGGTGGTGAGACGGCGCTTCGCTGCTCCTGCCCGGGATTCTAGAATTGATGTCTGGAGAGCTTCAGAGACAAGTTCATTGAGAGGGGCTAGAGACCGAGAAGAATCCTCAATACTCTGCCAAGGTCTCCCTCTAAACCTCCTGCCGTGTGCGTGTTTGCCTTGATTTTCATATTTTCTCTCCCTGCTTTCTTTTTAGTTGCTTCTGTGTTAAGCAGTCTAGGGCCACAGCTAGGCTTCTGAGAGGTGAGGATAACTCCCTTGATGACCTGGGGAGTGCGGGTGATCGAGAAGCAGCAGCACCCCACCCCACCCCGTGGCCTCTAACCCCCAAGTGTGTCCCCAAAGCAAGACACAGGTTTGGTGTCACCTCCCAATGGTCTCAACTCTAATTCTTCCTACGTAAGGCTCCTGACACACCCAGACACTTCCTCCCGGCTTCTAGTTCCAGGCAATACCTGAGGCTAGCGAGCCTAGCCCAGCCCTAAATTCCTTGTAGTGGTTTGTCTTTTGAATGAATTAATTTTAACGTGGCAGGCTTTTTGCTAAGTAGCCCAGGCTGGCCTTGAACTCCAGACGTTGGTGCCTTAGCCTGAGTGCTGAGATTAGAGGCACACCAGTACACCTAGCTAGGCACCTTACCGTATAATTTATTATTATTTATATTATTTTTTCGGTACCGAGGTTTGAACCTCGGTCTCAAGGAGGCTAGGCAAGCAGTCCATCATGGAGCTACATATCCACCTGAATTAGGTATTATAAAGACTCTTTGACTAGTCTGGGTTGTAACTCTCCCTCTATGGAACCAGGCGGACACTTTCCAGTCCTGGCTTGCAGGTGGTGTGACTGACTTTTCTAATCAGTTTTCCCGTGACTGAAATGGGCTTAGGATCTAGCTGAGAAGATTACTATGAGGGTGAAAAACAGACCTTCCGGGTGATCGGGCTGTCTCACTTGGTGCAGACAGCCTCTGCCCGGGCTGATACTGTGTGTTGATTTGCCTCCTCGCTGTTTCCAACACAGCACCACAGGGTGACTGAGTTATGAAGAAGTCAAGTTCATATTGCCTCATGATTCTGAAGGTCTGGGGTTGAGGGCCAGCACCTGGTGATGAATTCTTACTGACAGAGTCCCAAGGGGGCGGAGGACATTACATGGTGAGAAACCAAAGCAGGAGTGTATCTCCTCTGGCCTCTCCACTGGGACCCCACCCCCAACCTTGACAGCCTTCTCTAATCACCCTCAGAGTGTCCTGCCCCTGCAAGTACCATTGTGTTCATACCCCCAAAACCTGACAGTGTGATTCAATATCGGCTATTGTAACCTTTGGGGACTCTCATCCAAACCTGGCAGAGTGTTTCTATCTCAGGGAAGAAATGGGTAGGAAATAAACCTTCAACACACACACACACACACACACACACACACACACACACACACGGGTGGGGGCGTCACAAAGGCGGCAACAGAGACAGACAACCGGCCTCTTTCCTTTTTTTGTCTTTTTTTTTTGTTTTGTTTTGTTTTGTTTTTTCGAGACAGGGTTACCCTGTGTAACAGTCCTAGCTGTCCTGGAACTCGCTCTGTAGACCAGGTTGGCTTCGAACTCACAGAGATCCACCTGCCTCTGCCTCCCAAGTCTTGGGATTAGAGGTGTGCGCCACCACCTCCAGGTAGCCCCCTTTCTTGTACCAGGGACCAAACCCTGGCCACGTAGTCAGCCCTGTCCCCTGATCACTCAAGGGGAGGCCTAGACAGAGTGGTCCTAGGCTCTGGCTTTGGTGATTTGGCGTTGGGTCCCGAGACTCCACCAGATTAGGGTTCCTAGACTTCAAGTCAGCTTGAAGAACCCTCGGGTCCTTGGTGGGGTTCCAGGTTCTGTCCCAAATGCCTAGAGCTGAGTGAGAAGGCAATGACTTGTCCCTAATCTGAACAGTCACTGCTAACCTCTTCCATACCAGGAGCTCAAGTTTCAGGAGAGAGGTTGCTCCAATGCTTGTTCCTCAGATGGGCTCTGGGGCTTTATTATTTTTCAAGGTCTCATTACGTAGCCCAGGATAGCCTTGAACTCTTGATCTTCCTGTCTCAGCCACCTAAGTGCTGGAATTAAAGGTTTATAGCACTATACTTCATGATAATAAACTCAAGGGGTCTTTCAAATATAAAAACTTAAGTAACGCTTGGAGGGGGTCCCGGTTTCCTTGGTGTAAAAACACAAGACCCATTGTTTCTTACTCTTCCTACAGCCCTACCCACCCCCAGACCCAAGACGTTGGTTTTCGTTATCTTGATATCATCCAGCTGGCAGCTGCCACTGGTGAGGACAGCCCGTGCTGATGTTGTAACAGTATTCATTATTTGAAAACAGCAGTAGGCAGGAAGAGCCCACCAGGTCTAAGTGGTCCTACCCCCACAAGCCCCTTTTCTTTCCCTCTTTGTCAACCACATGCTCCCCATCCCCACTGTACATCTTCTAATCACTGCAGGCACCGAATTAGCATGGACATTGACCCATGTTCACACACAGGCTCAAAAAACATACATGCTTGGGCTGGAGAGATGTCTCGGCCATTAAAGGCTAGGCTCACAACCATACACAGTCACTGTCCGTTACAGGTGAATTCTGTTTCCAAAGCGGACCACTACGCTAACTCACCATGGATGTCCTTACATTGTTCAGCCTGTCTTTTCCCAGCTGCCCTGTAGTCCTACCCTGGCGGGGCTCTGCTCTGTCATAACTGCCTTCCCTTCTTTTCTTGGCCCCAAGTGAAAGCAGAGGCTCTGTAAAGAGGGCTTCTCTTTGTTTTGTGCTGGGGTCAATGATGGTTCCAGGCATGGTGGCTTGGTGTCTGCGTCTCCCTGACTTATTTGGTGATATGGCCAGACTGGGAGACTGTCCGTGGTGCTCTTCCGTAGTGCTCGTCCACGGTGCTCGTCCACGGTGCTCGTCCACGGTGCTCGTCCACGGTGCTCGTCCACGGTGCTTGTCCATGGTGCTGCTAGTACCAAGCATTTATGTGTACCTTCCCCTCTGAGCTTGCTGTTTTCTCCCCAGACTTGCTGGTTTCCACCGGGTCTGCCCAGCAAACCCTCATGCACCTTCTAAAGCAGGTGTCCTATTGCTTCCAGCCTACTCCTCAGCTGTGGCACGCTTGCCTGAAGTTGTCTTAATCTTAGTTTAGGAACCCTCAGGGTCAGTAAGTAAACAAACTGGAAAGATTGAGGAGGAAGTAAGCGAGGTGTCCAATGATGATCCCCAGATGAGGAATCCATGGAAGACCAGGGAGGGAGGCTGAGGGGTGCAATGCCCCTTCTGTGCCACTGACTGCCTTTCCCTCTCTCCGGCTGTGCCACTTTGCTGGCAAGGGCAGGATATTAATACCACAGTCCCTACATAAGCTCCCACGACCCCAGAGTCCCAGGTCTGGGTCATGGGAGCTTATGTAGGGACTGTAGTATTACTGGTGATTACTCCATCCCTCTGCCCCATCTGGATCCCTTTACTGGGTATCCCCACAGCTCCAGGAGGCTGGGTGGAAGGGACGTGCAGGATCCCTTGGGCTCCACTGCACCCTCTGACCCAGATCTTTATTCCGATGACCTCTGTACTTCACTGAGTCTGAGGTCTGCCTGTGACTGGGCAGGGCCAGCCCTAGCAGGATCCATAGCCAGCATCCCACTCCCCAAGAAAACCAAGGGCTCTAAATCTGCTAGGTTCCCTGTGCTCAACACCTTCACCTAGAAATCAGGAGGGGCACAGTGGTGATAGTTGTCCTCAGCTGCCTAATGCTATGAGGAGCACCGGATAAGGGTTTGTTTTGCTTTAATTCTGGGGCCTCTTGCATACTAGGGAAATGTTTTACTGTCTAGCTACACCCCCAACCCTCTTAGTTTTTATTTTGAGACATCCTACTAAGTTATCCAGGTCAGGCTAAAACTCAAAATCCTCTTGCCTCAGCATCTGGGATGACAGACCTCTACTGCCAGGCTTAGCTTGGAAGAACTGTTCCTTACAAAGCCTATAACAGTGAGCCAGGCAGAAGGAAGCAACTCATAAATTGTCGCTGTCACCCACAGCCCAAGACAAAGCAGACAGTATGGGGTGGAGGCACCCAGGAGACCTGGATTCTGGACCCAGCTGCAAACTGCAGAGGTCATTAGGTCCTGGAAGGCCCCTGCCTACCTCTCCCTCCCAGCTTCAGCGTGCACGGGTCTTATTTGTTGGCCTCGGGGCTTTTTAGTTTTTAAATTTTAAATAAACAAGGGCTACATGAACACCCTAATATTCGGGGTACATTTTGAAACAGCTCAGAAATCCCCACATCCCCTTGTGAGTCAGTCCTAGGAGCAGTAAGCAGAACTGTCGCCTGCTACAAGAAAAAAATTCTGCAAAATAACAGCTGGGCAGCCCTGTGTCTCCAGGGATTTGAGATGGGGACTCTAAAATATTAGTGGCCCAAGGGCCCCAGAGACCACTGGAGGGAGCACAAAATGCTGCAAAGGACCTCATGTCCCTCTGTCGCCTGTGAGGAAGTCCCACAAGACTTTGACTTTTTCCCGTAAATGCAATTCGAAACTCGTTGGGAAAGATCACTTTCCAAGTGTGTTTCTTTTGCTATTTTGGTGGCTCAAGCACGTGCTGGATCAACCGAGCCTCCACCCAGTGACCGGGGACACCCAAGGGACGCCGGCTCAGGCTCCTGGCGCCAGCAGCTGCGGCGAATACAGGGTTGGGAACTGCTGGGAAGGCGACAGGGGCTATGAGCAGGTCTAGCTGGGACTGCACGACCCGGCAGCTTCTCCCAGCCCGGAGGACCCGCGGGACTTTCGGAAAGCGCTTTCCTTCCCCCCGCCGGATCTGACTCAAAAAGAGGAGCTGGCTCAAACCGAAAGAATAATTCGGTTAGCCAAGGCCACCGATATTTCTCTGGGGCACAAATAATTGCCAGGTAGGAGCTCCAGGGCGGGAGCGTCGCGGGCCCCTCGGGTGTCGCTGAAAGCCCCAGCCCCATACAGTTCCTCTTTCCGCCCCAAAAGGGAGTAGGAAGGGCGGGGGGCACAAAGGGCTGATCAAGGGGACTTTGCATTCTGCAGTCCTGGGCCATCCTGAACTGTCTTTCCCTTCGCTGGAGGCCCGAGGAATGGGGCATCTGGAAAGGGATAAGGGCTCCTTCTACCGTGCCCTCCCCTCACCAATTTCAAGCAACCCTGTAGGGGGACTAAATTCCTAGCTTGCAGCATCCCCAACACTCAGGCGGGTATAGTGAAGGCTTTTCGAAAGCCTGATATTGGCGTTCCTGGGGGTGGTGGCGGTGTCTCTGTTACTCTTGGTTGCTGATGGTTCCTTTTATAGGAAATACCTGAAGTCAACCTGAAAAGAACCAGTGTTTATTCATCATGTCCGCCCCAAGACCCTGGAATCTGTTTCAGGCCCTTTGGCTTGGTGGCACATGTCTTCTGACCATGGTTCAGGCCCTCACTCAGAGGTCCCAATTAACCAACTTTTTACTAATCTCATATTCAAGCAGCATTTATTATTCTAACCTATTTCTCATAGGTTGAACTTCCCGGGACTGGGTGCTGGCAGGAAGGGATCTCTCGGTTCCCCCTCAAGAGCCTAACTGAAGGTCACCTGTGTGGATTCTGGTCTCTACAGAGCTGGCTTCTGCTGCAGGAAGTTCCTTGCTTTCAAGGGGTATCCAAGGCTTTGCAGAGTCAGCAATTCTCTGACTTGGGCCCCTGCTGGCTTCAAGTTCATCTTGACCTGGAGACAGGTGTGTGAGAGAGATGCTGCTGGCTCATCTCCCTGGCTACCCAGGACACCTGGCTGGGGCCTGCTGTACCACCGCCTAGGCCTGGCTGCTATCTCAGCACAAAGTTTACCCGGTAAGCAAGATCTGTCTTGAACTCCTAGGTAGGCAGGCACACGGCTGCTGTCTCCCGGAAGAGTCCTACAGGCACACACAGTGGCAGAGACACGGTGTTGTATGCAGGGTGTGTGTGCCTGACAGACATGAGATTGAGCACACGCAGTGGGTCATGGCTACTCATGGCTACACGGAGTCAGATGAGCCTCTGAACTGAATACACTTGTCTGTATCCTCATCCTCATAGGGAAGACTGGCTGGGCATAGCCCTTGATCTATCCAAGACTGGTGCCCTCTGCCGTCACTTGGAGCGGCCCCTATGACTTGCACGAAAGTGTGATAGGCGGTTTTGGGGGTGGGGAGACACCTGTTAACCCCAAGGGCGGAGTGAGTCTTTGACTCCAGGAGACGTCTGGGAACATCTTCCCTTTCAGACACTGAATGATGACTTGAAGGCAGGACAGGAAGAAGAGGTGGCTTTACATCGTGGTGGCAGGCGCTGGGAAGCCCCTAGGGTCTGGTGCAGGAAAAGGAGCCTGTCAGTGAGGGATAGCAAGGGTATTGTTGCAGTAGAGCTTGGACCAAAGAACTGGCGCAGTGGGGCTCCTCAGCTCCTTAAAGCCCTGCATCAGTGGCGAGGAGGGATAGGCTCACGGGCACTGGTAGGTGGATGTATGCGCTAATGAGGTGGACTCCCTCGGTGAGGGAGGGCATTCTTCCTCTTAGCTGAGCAGTCAATCTCAGGTTCATTGTCGGCGGTCAGTGGGAAGCAGGGACTTGAGGGCTGACTCAGAATACCAGGCTGGGCTGTCCAGCCAGGAAAGCCATGATGAGCTGAGCAGGAGACCCCTTCCTGCTTCCCATGAGGCTCCATCCCGGGGTCCCCAAGATCCAAGAACTCCTGGCAGGAGAAGCCTCCAGGGTTCAAAATTCTGAATTGGCAACTGAATCCATAGGATTTCCCTCCGAACAGTCTGCTACCCTTTTTGTAGGAACCGAGACTGAGATGAGCCACACTGTCTATACGTGTCTGAGCGTGCTTCGCTTTTCCTTGAGCGCCACAGAGGTTGGATAGGGGCCCCCCTGGAAGTTCGTGCTCCTCAGGCTAGAGCATGCAGCAGCTCCCATCTCTAGCCCTGGGGATCTCCAAGCACTCAGTAAATGCAGAGAACACCGCTTCTGATTTCCGAACAGTTTTCTTCCTGTGGTCAGCCCTGATTACCGAGACCTCGGTTGTTAATCAGAACATGCACCCAGATGTACACAGGGTGCAGGGGGTTCTGGGGAATTCACTTTTCTGGGTAAGGCAGGGTTAACTGGAAGCCTGCGTTCTTGGGCTCTATTGAAAGCTTTTCTACAAATGATGGGCATTTCCCCAGCTTAGTATTTTGAAAGCTTCTACCACTTTCTAAATATGTGACCTTGGTCAAGTTACCTAACCTCAATAACCTCAGTTTCCTTATCCGTCGAATGTGCGCACAGTGCTGACTCTCGAGGTTGTAACAGGAAGGAGCCATGCTTAGCCTGCAGTTCGCTTCAGAAGCAGCCAGTACCACACTGTTTCCACGCTGGCAGTGGGTCCTCGGAACCGAAGGGCCATCTGCTCCAATGGATATCCTCCCAGGGAGACAACATTCTCCTTCCTCAGAAAAGTCAGTGTAATCTCTGTGCCATACGAGCCAAGGATCCTGTGTCTGGAGCCTATGTGTTTTCTGTGTTTGGCACTTCCCCTGGGGGAGAATCAGTTGGTGAAGGGCGCTGGGCCCTGTCTCCCTGGCATTCAGCCGCTCTTGCTGGATCCCCCACCTGCCCTCTTAACACACAGGACTCATCTTCCCACGGAGGGCATCCCCAGCCCCTAGCAAGGCAGAGAGGACACATGATCTGAGGAGAAAGCTGGGCAGGCTCTGGATTCTGGGCAAATGTAGGAGACTAGAGGGGCCTGGACTTGAGTCTCAGCCTGATGCACCCAGGGAGCTGTTTTCTTTTCTCCTTCCTTCCTTCCTTCCTTCCTTCCTTCCTTCCTTCCTTCCTTCCTTCCTTCCTCCTCCCCTCCCTCCTTCCCTCCATTATTTCTTTCCTCTCTGTCCTTTTCTTTTCCCTCCCTCCCTTCTTCCTTCCTTCCCTTCCTTCCTTCTTTCCTCTCTCATTGCTTTCTTTTTCTCCTTTCTTTTTCCTTTTGAGATGGTGGTTTGCTGTGCTGCCCAGGCTCATCTTAAATTCCTAAGCTTAAGTATTTCTCCTTCTCAGCTTCCTAGTAAGGTTGCACTCCATCTAGGCTCAGGGAGCTTTTCCTGTCTAGTCCCTGGATTGACCTAGGTTAAGAGACTAAAAGGCTGCTCTCAAGTGGGGATCTCGGGAGACATCAAGTTAGAGATGGTTGTAAGCTTCCATGTGGGTGATGGGAATCACCAGGTTCCTGATGGCTGTGATGGGGGAGGAGGCAGCCATAGACGGGGAATGTGATGCTCAGTCGCCTAGCCTGGACACGGGCACCCACCCGACACGTGTACACACCTGCTAGGTCATAGTCAGAAGCACAGTCTACCCTTCAGCAGAAGGGTACCAAGGCCTGTCATTCAACGCTCCAGGCCTTTAGTTATTTATCTAATGGAAATATAGTTGAAATACTGAAATACAGTATTTCAATGTCCATGAGGGACACTGACAGGAGAGACTCAGACCCCCTTAAGGCAGCAAATCCATGGAAGTTCAAATCCCTTAGAGGGCACCGCATATGTACATTCTGTGTACGCGTCTAAAAAGTGTTTTTGTGTGAGTATAAGGTGTGTGTGTGTGTGTGTGTGTGTGTGTGTGTGTGTGCATATGGGTATTTGTGCGTGAGTGCAGCGGTCAAAGGATACTCTGGTGCCAATCCTGGTCTTCTCTCTTGATTGAGACATCCTCATCAATGATGCACGGGCTAGGCTAGCTGGCACAGGCTATTGCTGTTGCTGTTTCTGCTTCCCATCTTGCCATAGGTGCACTGGGATCACAGATGTGTGCCCTGCCACATCCAACTTGATTGTGGGTTCTGAGAACGCAAACTCAGGTCCTCACAGTGCGTGATGTCCTAGTCAGGGTGGCTAATTGCTGTGTTGAAACACCATGGCCTAAAGCAACTTGGGGGTGGGGGTGGGGAGGGTTTATTTGGCTAACGTATTCTTAGCCACCATCCATTGAGAGAAGTCAACGCAGGAACTCAAAGTGGGTAGGAACCTGGGGGCAGGAGCTGGTGCAGAGACCGTGGAGGGGTACTGCTTACTGCCTTGCTCAGCCTGCTTCCTTATAGAACCCAGGACTATCAGTCCTGGGGTGGCCCCATCCATTATGGGCCAGACCCTCCTCTATCAATCACTAATTAAGAAAATGCCCTACCGAGAGAAAGATTCCTTTCCCCTCTCTTGCCCCGACCACCTGTGCTGGGTGAGGGAGCTGACCCTCCCTATTGCCAGCTGCAGCGCTCAGGAAAGTGGACCCTGCACCTCGCCTGGGCAGCACAGTAGAGCTGACCCCTATGGTGGTGGCTAGGGGAGCCAGCTCCAAAGTTGTGAGCATGGGAGAGCTGTATCTATTACTCATCTGTTCTGTGGCGGCAGGCACAGGGGGAGATGCCCCCCCATCAACTCCTGAGGCGGGCGGGGTTGCTGGCCCTGAGGACATAAAAGCCAGAGAACTGTCCCTCACCAGCCGCCATACTCAGAGAGTGGGCCCTATACCTCACCTGGGCAGCTCAGTAGAGCTGGTCCTGAAGGTGTGTGTGTGTGGGAGAACCAACCCTGAGGATGTGAAAGCCGGAAACCGGCCCTGCCCTTTGCTCATGGCTGCAAGGGGTGAACTAGCCAGGGCTATGCTGGTGGGTGGTGAAGATGGGAGAGAGCTGGTAGCCTCACCGATCCTGCAACTACCCAGGCCCAGAACCAGGGTTAAGTGTTGGCCCACCCCAACATCCACCCCATCTGTGATCGGCTGGAACGCGGAGGGGCAGGGGGGGGGAGGGGTCGTGAAGACCCAGGGCTTCAGGATCGCTATGACACAGGGCAGCAAGGCAATGTCCAGGAAGTGTTCCAGTGGTGTCACAGAGGCCCAGGCAGAGTCAGATCAGAGATTGTTTGCAAAGAACCACAGCATGTAAAGATGTATGGATAAAGGGGTTACTGCGTGACTCTACGGTCTCACACTGCGGCTTCCGTGCGGAGGTTTTCCCTTTCTCCCTCCCCCCACTTTTCTCTTACATTTTATTTTGTTTTTTGGGGGGAGGGGCGTGGCAGGGGTAGAGGGCAGATGCGAGGGCACAGGAGATGGGCGGGGTTGGGATGCATGATGGGAAAGACACAAGGAATAAATAAAAAGAAAGCTGAAAGAAAGAAAGAAGGAAGGAAAGAAAGAAGGAAAGAAAGAAGGAAAGAAAGAAGGAAAGAAAGAAAGAAAGAAAATGCCTTACAGGCTTGTTTGCCTACAGCTGGATCTGATGGAGGCATTCTCAACTGAGGCTCCCTCCTCTCAGATGACTCTAGCTTGTATCAAGTTGACGTAAAACTAGCCAGCCACGCGGCAAGTGCTAACCCACTGAGCCATCTCCCTAGCCCACATCCTGTCTATTGTAAACCATCTTCAGAGGGCTTATTATACCTAGTGCAAGGTCAATGCTCTGGAAAACCACTCTATAAAAGTTCTTATGAATGTTTTGTCTGCATGTATGCCTGTGCACCATGTACGTACGGTGCCTGCAGAGGCCAGAAGAGTGCACTGGATTTCCTGGAACCATAATGAGTCCCAGAAAGTTGTGAGCCACTGCGTGGGTGCTGGGAACCAAGCTCAGGTCCTCTGCAGGAGCAGCCAGGGCTCTTAACCACTGAGAGAGCTCTCCAGCCTGCAAATCATTCACATACTTCATTGACTATGGGAAAGTGACAAGAAGAGAACCTGTGTGGTGGCAGTAGTTTTGCTTTTCTAGAATATTCTGTATATGCAGCTGGTTGACTGCAGGTCTAGATGCTAAGGTTACAGAGGGCTGAC